CAACTAATGTAAGCAGTGTTGACAACAGTGAATTCTACTACATACTAGCGCATAAAAATCACTCCAATGTCTAGAATCATGTCTATTAGGTGTGCCTATGTAATTCTTTTCGAACGTTTTCCTGACACATATTAAAGAGACATTTAGTAATCGTCTTTAAGATGTACAGTATATGGTTTATTTAAATTCACTTTGGAGACATAAGCTCCTTTGTTCGCTATAACATAATAAAACGTGTTTTTACAGAAAAATCATAAATATACTATACTGTCTAGCATCTTACACCTTCAGCAATTCAACAGTTTACTCTACAGTAGTTCAACAAATTTTAACACAAGGAACTGTGTTTCGGCTTGTAATACTCACATTTGTAAACACCCTCGTCGCTGTTCTCCACCCTGTTCGATGATGACGTATCCTCTCCCGTGGGCTTCTGGGATTGAAAAGTGTCCATCGATGAACACTTCAGAATCTGGGCTGAAGCAGTAGGACATCCGGGGATTTCTCGCCTACTATTTTATGAATACTGCAGTTTCGAACGTACTTCTTTCTTCACATACTCTTTTCTCCTACTATATAGTAGGTAAGTAGGCATATTCAAACACAACTTAAGTATACGTACTCGTAATTCGCAAGAATTAGTGCACCAGCCAGGTAATTCTCGCCTACTTTTTTATGAATATTCAAGAGTTCAAATATACACTGAACAAAATTATAAACGCAACACTTTTGTTTTTGCCCCCATTTTTCATGCGCTGAACTCAAAGATCTAAGACTTTTTCTATGTACACAAAAGGCCTATATCTCTCAAAAATATCTGACTGGTTTTCGGACCCCCCCCCCGGACCCCCAATACAGTAAAACTGCACATTTTAGAGTGGCCTTTTATTGTGGCCAGCCTAAGGCACACCTGTGCAATAATCATGCTGTCTAATCAGTATCTTGATATGCCACACCTGAGAGGTGGATGGCTCACTAACACAGATTTAGACAGATTTGTGAACAATATTTGAGAGAAATAGGCCTTTTGTGTACATAGAAAAAGTCTTAGATCTTTGAGTTCAGCTCATAAAAAATGTGGGCAAAAACAAAAGTGTTGCGTTTATAATTTTGTTCAGTGTAATTATTCGCTCGCCTACTGCTTTTTGCCTACTATACAGTAGGGAAATATGCCATTTCTAACGCAGCGATAGAGTCAGAAATGGGGCATCAGTTTACTGTCTAAGACTCATTGCATTTTAGTTGCTTTTCCTGCTTGGTGGTTTTCCACATGGTGCACATTGTCAATGATGCCGCTTTAGAATTTTTAGTGGTTTCATGCCAACAACATGGTAAGAGTAGTGTTACACTGACATAAACATCTGACTTCAGCACAGAGCTGCAGGCCAAACATTTGTCTCTTGTCTCCCCAAAAACAATAGTAGTTACACAGAACACCTCAGCAACCTAGCAACAATCTAACAATACCCTAGCAGAACACCCTAGAAATGTCCTTGCAACCTTTTAGTAATGCCACAGCAACCACCCCAAACATACAGTAGTAGTAAATTACCCAAAACACCCGAGAATCATGGTTTTGCATGATCAAGCACCACTCGTGTTTAGTTCACAGATGATTATAAGTGATCGACTATGTATTTAGAATGGAAATACACAGGCTTACAAAGAGGAAGAGGGATTTTGGTAATCAGACAAGCCTGGATATCAACATGATAATTCAGTGAAATAGCAACAAGGCAGAAAACAAGACCATTAGCCCATGCAACAGCTGAGGTGTAAACAGGTAAGAGTGAGCATATCACTGTAAGCGAAAGGAAGACAAGCCTGTGCTGTTGGTTGCTAACAGACAGGTATACCTCAGGGACAGAGGATTGTATACAAACAACATCAGAGATTCAAACACACAAACAGCTGGGACGTAACAAAAGACTCAAGACACAGGTGGCCACTCATAAAATTAGGCATTGATAAATGAGAGTACAGATGTCAACTGAGTTGCAATTACTCCGATGAACAGGTGTAAAAGAACAATGGAAAACAGTTTTGAGAAAAAGAGGGGTTTAGAGACCTAAACCTCTCTAAGGAAACATTCACAGAGAAAGTAAGATGCAGGGCAGTGGAATGAGAAAAAACCCGCAAGGTTTTTAATACTGAAATACTTTAAACTTGAGTGTTGCGTTTTTAGAATGTAGTGCCAAGTTCGTGGTACTGCAGTCCGTAACTTTTTTGGTTAAAAATGATCCAAAATCCATTTTTGAGCAAGTACATAACCAGCCAGTGTTCAAACCTATCGCCTTACTTTTACTCGATTCACAACAGTAAGCTTGTAATAAAGTTTTCTCATTTTAGTGGTACGGGTAGGTTTTCGTGGGAAATTTGAGCATGTGCTGCGTCATTACGTCACGTCTGTAAACATAAAGAAGTTGTCCCGCCTAGTTTGCTATATCGCACGAGGATGCTGCAGATGACGGATCGTTTATAGCCTTTTCTCACAGCAGCTGGAATAAATGGCGAATTGTAATCCAGAAAGGTCGAAATGACAATCATCAGTGACTGGAGATTCACCCGTAGTCAAAACCAAAAAAATTCGTACTGAGATGTGGCTACAGAAAAAAAGAGAATGCGACGGCCATTGCTAAAACAAAAATAAATATTGGCAGCGCTTTTGAAAGGTGGAGTGAACTCCATGTTTTGAAGGGGTTTAAAACGGTTGCAGAGACAGCTTTTTTCTGCTGGACAGGTAAGATATTTTAATGGTTCAATTAGGTAGGCTAACAGTAGCAGCACACTTCTTCCCTTAATCAATAGAGTTATGGAGTTTCTTATGTTGTGCTTTTTTCTTGTCTTGCTATGTTCATTATGAAAAAAGATTTATTTAAAAGAGAACGAGTTGTAAGGAACTTTAATTGGCTTTTTGGGTTACAAGAACAATTTCTTTATATGAAATTCGAATGGTATGACAATTAGAGATTAGACTGTACAGAAATTTAAATCTACAGGTAACGCTAATACACACTAAATACACACACTCACGCAATGCTAATGTTATTAATGTCAACAATTTGAAAAAGTATAACAATAATAATAATTGGCACGGTTTGGTGTGATAGGAGCTAAACGATCGTTAGATCTAATCACCATTGATAGCGCAATTTATTGTAAAATAAATGTACATAATGCTTTTTTCCTCAGTTGATCAGAACAAAAGTGGCAGTTGTTACTTATTTATTCAGATTATGTTCTCCAGTAAAAATTCTTATTTGGGTCATACTTTCAAGATGTAGAATCTGTGAATAAAAAGTGCAGTATCCACACCAGTGCGGTGACTGACAGCCACACATTCGATTCATCCATGCTGGAGCCATGCCGGTGCACAAACCACCCAAAAATAAAAAAATATGAGATGCAGGGCAGTGGAATGAAAAAAAATGCATAGTTTTAAAAACAACAATGGAAAAAACAGCAGAGTCCCTATGAAAAAAGTAATATTTTTAAAATGCATTTATTTCATACTAAGTACAGTTTAAATCTATATTTACTGACATATTGCTCAAGACTTACTGATATAAAAAAAAATGACGATTCAACTTTATTTGGAGTACTAGTTGTGTACAATGCATATTTCATATTATTAAACCTAAAATGTGTTTTAATGTTACTATTAACAAGGATTGTATTATCTGAATAATAAAGGTCTTTAAATGTAAGATATTAAAGTGTACATAAAGTATACTTGCAATAGTTCCACTTTAGCACAATGAAATATACTTCAGTATATCTTTAGTTGGACTTCAGCACTATACTTCCACACAATTAAAGTGCATTAAATACAAAATTAGTTGTTCAAATTTAGCAGACTTTAAGTATACCAGTTTAGTAAACCAAAAGTACAAATTCAGGGTATTTTTATTAAGTACATAAACATGTAAATGTATTTGTAGTATACTTAGCATGAAATAAATGTATTTCAAATACATTTTAGTATATTTATTTTTTACTAGGGTGAAAAACTTGAGACACAGGGCAGTGGAATAAAAAACAATACAATTTCTAAATACGCATTTAAAAAAAAAATCTAATTTGACAGTAAATTTTTATAATGGCATGCTATGTATTAGAAGGGTGCAAGGTGCAAGTTTAAAGTCAGTCTAGTTCATGTGTACACAGAAATCAATGGAAAAGCAGTGCGGTGGAATGCAAACACATGTTCATATTAGCATTTAGTGTTCTAAACACATTTTTAAAAGCTGAACTTTTTAATTTGAGTGCCGCATTTTAGAATGCACGAGACACGAGCGTAACAGTCAAACATATCTGTCTAAGGCATACTTACATAGAAAAAACAATGGAAAAGCAGCATGGCGGAATGCAAAAATGCATTCTGGGTTATTCAAACAGAACCCTTTTTTTGTGTGTGTTCCACTGTGATGCTTTTCCATTTGTTTGTTTCTATGTAAACTTGCTCTAGATGGACGTGTTGTGTCTGACTGTTGTGCTCTCACGTCTTCTGCAGCATCTAACGCATGACACAGTGTTCTAAAAATGTGGTGCTCAAGTTAAAATAAGTTCAACTTTTAAAAAATAGGTCTCCAGACCATGCATTTTTCCCCCATCCAATTTTTCGCGTAAAAACACGTCTATGTGAACCAGCCCACTCTCTGCTTCACATCATGCCTAAGAACACTCCTTAATCCTGGTAATATCCCAGAAACACACAGCTTTACTTGAAGCACAGCTTCTGCGTAACAGCTTTTGGTGTTTTGTTTTACCACTGCAAATGAAGACAGATAGAGAGGAAACAGGTTCGCAAACAGTGAGTCATATCCTACAGGTCCTGACATGCCGACAGACTATTTAGAGGAGCAGGTGGGAAGGAGAGATGCAACAGAAAAAATCTTTACAGCTGTAGTGGGCTGAATACACATGTATTTGTGTAAAGCAAGTAACACTATTAATTCTCTCCTGCTGTGTACTGTGACTAGTGTGTTTGTCTAACAGACCTCTCCTGCAGTAAGGTGGATCGGGCTACTCTCAGGTCCTTCATCTCGCCCTTTGTCCGGGTCACCTCTTCCTCTTTCTGTTGCCACGCCAACAGCTGCTCCTGCATGGACTCACATCGTTGTTGACATGACAACCGGTTCTCTTCCTTCTCCCTCAGGTCTCGGGATAGCCTTTAGGGGAAAGCGTGAACACACACTGACTCACGGCAAATGCAACCATTTACATCCACATGAAAGCTAGATATCTGCACACATCTGTGCACACACAAAAGAAATAGCTCTGTTCCGAAACCAAGAGTGCTGCTTCAATGCATGCCTACATACACCCTACCCTGCTGCAAAGATCAGCATATGTTGTGTTTTGGATGATGACATGCTGGTTGTCTTAGCAGATTTCTTCTTTTCTTAACATTCACAGTTGATTCCAATAGAGTTGGCATTAGCACATGTTGCTATGCAAAAACAAAACATGAGTACAAACAAATACTGGCTTAACTGTTGTGGTGCTTTAAATTGTTGTGGAAACCAATACATGTTTTTCAGGATTCTTCAATGAATAGAAAGTTTAAACAGTATTTAATAATAATAATAATAATAATAATAATTACCAACTATTAATAAAGCAGCAAATTAGTAGTTTATTGGGGCAGAAATTGTAGCTACTGGTTTGTTAATAGTGAGAATTGGACCTTAAAATAAAGTGTTAGCTGAAGTTTATATACTCAATATATATCAATATACAGTGGTGTGAAAAAGTGTTGGCCCCCTTCCTGATTTCTTTTTTTTTTTGCATGTTTGTCACACTTTAATGTTTCAGATCATCAAATAAATTTAAATATTAGTCAACGATAACACAAGTAAACACAACATGCAGTTTTTAAATGAAGGTTTTTATTATTATTATTAAGGGAAACAAAATCCAAAACTACATGACCCTGTGTGAAGAAGTGTTTGCCCCCCTGTTAAAACTGTGGTTTATCACACCTGAGTTCAATTTCTCTAGCCACACCCAGGCCCGAGATCCAAAGAAATTCAGAAACAAATGAGAAAGAACGTAATTGAGATCTAGTTTTCCCTTAATAATAAAAACTTTAATTTAAAAACTGCATGTTGTGTTCACTTGTGTTATCTTTTACTAATATTTTAATTTGTTTGATGATCTGAAACATTAAAGTGTGACAAACATGCAAAAAAATAAGAAATCAGGAAGGGGGCCAACACTTTTTCACACCACTGTACAATAATATACACAATATACAATATTGCCAGTTACTCTCTCTTTGTATACTCTGTCAAGGAAAATAGTTACAAAATACATAAAAGCTGAATCAACTGAAGCAGAATCAATCTCTGAGATTGAAATGAAAGATTCTGTCACGAATCCGGTCCATGAACTTTCCTTTTCATTGACTCTCGCACCACACAAACTGTTGCATAGCACCCCGGACTACATTTCCCATCATGCATTGCACTGATTGCACTCAGCACGAATTGCACACACCTGTTTACACTGATTGCACCCAGCTGTTTCATATCACTCCCTCACTATTTAACACTCACTCTGATCCCTTCCCTCTGCCGAGTATTGTTTCAGCATTTATCACTCTCCTAGAGATAGCTACCTTACGGAGCCCTTGTCATAGCCTTAGCCATAGCCTTAGCCCTAGTCGTTTGTCATAGCCTTAGCCATAGCCTTAGCCCTAGTCATTTGTCTTAGCCCTAGTCTTAGCCCTAGTCGTTTGCCTTAGCCCTAGTCATTTGCCTTAGCCTTAGCCTTAGCCTTAGCCTTCCCGGTTTCTGATCTTCGCCTGGTTCCCTGGATTCACCCCTTTTGTCTTGCCCCTTTTGATTCTGTCTGCCGATCGTCGACCTGTGCTAGCTCTAGGACTATTCTTGTGTTTTGCCCACCATATACCTGTTTGCCCTCATCTGACCCATGCCTGCTGTATGACCACGTCTCTGTCTGTGTCTAATAAAGCTCTGCGAATGGATCCGCAAGTCTCACGTCTCGTCAGCCCCGTAACAGATTCAATGACTGGTTTATTACAATATTCACTTGTTTCACTTGTAAATTGAAAGTCATTGTTCTGAATGAATTAGTTGAAATAAAAAGATTCAGTGAATTATTCATAAAGACAGGCACTTATTGCCACCTACTAATGAAACAATTTAACCAGAATCAGAAGTCACTTAGTCGCTTATAAATGTTAGTGGGGGAAAAAGGTCCATTGTCTATTGGCAGTAATGTATGAAGCTCAGTTCACACATTAGTCACTTTCAAACCCAGCAGGTTTCATAAACACAATGAACAACTTGAACCCAATGCAAAATATGCATGGAGAATGTTTCGCTCTCACATAAATTCCAGGCATGTATTCCTATTGAAACAGCTGGATTTTGTCTGCAAAAAAAATCACTGAACAATGGCAAATATGACCGTACCTTTTCTCCAACCTCTTAGCAACCAGGTTGAATTTCAAAAAGTTATTATTTGGGTGGAATACAATGTTAAAACTATACGTTATTAGCATTTCATAGGAATACTGTCATGGTTGCACTTTTTTCAGTCATCCAATTTGGTAGGTGGCGCTGTCACAAAACAATTAGGGTCCTAGAAATGTGGTTCTAAGATTGCGGAACTGCAGGATTATACCATTGTCAGTAGGCACATGGACAATAAGACGAAGTTGAGGTTCAAAGTTCTTCTTCACACTTAACATAGACTGGGGGGGGAAGACTTCCTGGAGAAGCCATTCCATTACTATTTCTCTCCCTTTATCTCTCTCTGTCTATCTTTTCCCTGCAGGACAAAATTAGGAAATTCCCAAACACAGAAGATCTTATCCGTTAGCCTCCAGCCTCCTCTCCCCCAATTGAGGAAGACACTTTAGAAAAAGGTGTGATAATGGCACACTTCCCATGAGGAACAGTTATCGCTTAAAGATCAGGCAGTTTCCTTCTTAAGACAGAACAGCAGATCTCTTTGGGCTCTTCTAAGAGGAACCAGGCAGAGAAAAACAAAAGAGGGTGGTATGGCCTTAGATCTGAGCTAATGTCCTTAAGTCTGACAAAGATAAGCACCATCCCACAGGCATGCTCACATCTGTGGATTTTTTGTATGCTTGAATGTTGTGGAGAAAACATTTTCCCACAAGTACACACTGGCTGCTTTGGAATGCCTAAACAATAAATGAAATGCTGAAACTTAACATATGTTGACTATAAAGTTAAATACAAAATGAAAGCAATGTGGGGAGCACACGGGCTTCTCTGTGGGCATTGCAGAGTCGAGGAATCACTCTTTCATACTGTATTTTTTAAGTATGGAAGAGTGAGAACCGTGGTTAAAGATGACAGGGGTCGGATTTAAAATAGATTCAGTCTGATATCTGTCATCAGAATAAATCATTAGCGCCTGTGACATATGAGTCTGCTTTGCAGATATCATGGCTCCTTTGGGATGGTGAAAATTAAAGGAGCTTTGAAAACCGAGATGTGAAGTGTGTGTGTGTGTGTGTGTGTGTGTGTGTGTGTGTATATGTGAGGTGCGGGAAGTTCTGAAACCCGAAGCCCCATGAGTGGGAAGTGCTTCCATCTGCCATCACAGAGCTTCACACGTAGCTTAAGCCTGCTGACACATTACAGAATTTAATATCTATACAATATCACTCCGTCTGAAGCAGAGCTGTGATACATGGAGAGAGGGGGAGGGCGTAAGACCTCAGAGCTCAGAACATCACTCACATGCATGCTACTTTCTAAGCTCAAAGGCATCGGGTCCTCTTTCAGCTTTCTCTCATCTCTGTCTTCTGTCCTTTACCCTCCTTTTGTAGCACTAGTCAATTTCCACATGCAAGGTAGAAAGCAGAGCCTGAAACTGACTCCAAACTTCAAACTTTTATTTCCTGATCATTTTATTTGCAGCTTGCCATTTTTGCAGCCTTATTACAAAATTTACCTAATTATTTTGTTTTTTAAAAATCTTTCTTTCTTTCTTATTTGTAAAGGCATTATAATGTTACAAAATATTCCTATTTCAAGTGAATGCTGTTCTTTTGAACTTTCAATGAAATGTCTTTGTATTGTGTGTGTGTGTGTGTACCTACTTAACCATATTTTGGGGTCAAATTTGTACCCAAATGTGAGCTAAACCTGACAAAATCTCCAAAAACCTCCCTTTGGGGACATCCTCATTTGTAAGACTGGTATAAAAATAAAGTAAAAGGTTTTTTTTTTATTGTAAAAATGCAGAAAGTTTCCTGTAAGGGGTAGGTTTAGGTGTAGGGTGATAGAATATACAGTTTGTACAGTATAAAAACCATTACGCCTATGGAATGTCCCCATTTAGATAGCTAAGTAAACGTGTGTGTGTGTGTGTGTGTCAACAAAAATGTGAAGCAGTATAAGTTTTCAGTATTTATAATAAGACATGTTTAATGTCTTAATAATAAGACATGTTTCTTGAGCACCACATTAGCATATTAGAATGATTAGAATCTGCTGACAATTTTGATTTGCCATCATAAATTATATTTTAAAATAAATTAAAGCTATATATATATATATATATTTGTTACTGTATTTTTCAGCAAATAAATGAAGTCTTTCATAATATAAGAGATGCTTTTAAAAACTTAACATCTTACCAACCAAACTTTTGAATTATAGTTTTTTTTGTTTCAAAAATTGAATGAATGAATGAATGAGGCATTTATATAGTGCTTTCATTGTGTATTGCTGTACACCCAAAGCTCTTTACAATCATATGGGTGGTCTCTCTTGAACCACCACCAAATAAATAACATTTATAAAAGATAAAAAAGGGAGAATCGGTAGGGGCTAGATAGTTTGGGACAGAGTTTGTAGCTACTCATAAACTCATATTTTCAATATATGAAAAAGAAAAGGATTTGTAGGTTTGTTAGTTTTTTACCAAATGAGATTTAACTTCTTCTTAACGTCTTCTATCCATGCTGTAGAAACAGTCCTAATGATGATATTTTTAAAAACATGCTTAATCCCTGTAATGGGAAATGGTATTTGTGGAGTTCGCCAGTGTCTCTTTATGTCTGAGGTCTCTTTGCCCTCTGTGAAAAGCTTTCTGGTCTTTTCAACCTTTCTTTATCAGCATGCCATCCTCTCTTCAGACTGGTGAGCAATTGTGACAAACAGTACACAGCACTCCAAACCACATCCAGGAATGTGCATCAATCCACTGAGACGCTTACAGATGACTGACAGACACTAACAAACTCTGTCTCCGCCACATATAAACACACTCACCACACTTATACACAGACAAACACATGAACACACCCTAGTCAAACAAATACACAATAGTTCATGGTTGTGCACAGTTTAGTGGACCATGACATCAATCAAAACACACAAAATGTGACCAAAGAAGCTCCACATGCCTCTATTTATAACTTCCTGGTCCATGTGAGTTCAGTATTTGTGTAAACCTGTGAAACTACTGTTTTTCTCCTCTCAGAGGAAAATTATATTTGCCATTGTTGCTTAGTCATTGTATCTTTATTTACTTCAACCTTGTCTCTGATGTTTCACATAAAAAAAATGTTTAAAATTAGAATTAGCTGCCAACATATAAAACTTGGAAAACGACTATTAAAGCTAACATTACTTCTTTTTTTAAATTAGTAATTCATTTATAAAAAGACTTTTAAAATATTTATATTTCATAAATAATTTATTGTATTATTTAGTTTATAGTTCAGACCGAAATCTCTGCTTTTGATTGCAGACTTTAATATCTTGACTTATATATCTGATCAACTGTGTTGTGACATTGAGATATTTGTGATTTTTCTTTTTTATTGTTGTACCTCTCAATGGTGGCCGTCTGTTCACTCCACAACACTCGCAGATCCTCCTTCTCCACAGAATTTATTCTGCAAGACAACAAAGACGTGTTTTTATTTAAAGCAGCGACCGCTAACATCTGTTCCCTCTTTCCTCTATTGCCTGTGAGCGCGAGAGATACTGAAAAAATTCCCCTTCTCCAAAAAAGTCACCCAAGCATGTCCTTCTGGCATCCGCTTCCAACACCAGCAACTCAGCGCGAGCAGCTAAACAATGGCGTGTAAACGAGTGTAGCCCAGGGCACGTCCACGTGTGAAGCTAACAGGTACCATCGAGGGTATAATGGGTGTTGAAATCTCACTGAGTGAGAGGGAGAAGATGAAAAAGAAAGAAAGCAGGTGGAAAAGAGATGGAAACACAATCTGACATACAGCTGTTAAGTGTTATGTTTTTTTGTAATATCCCTCTGTAGTTTGAGTAATAATGTGAAACTTGGTTAGCGAGCACAGAAGTGACAAGAGTGAATGTGGGAGTCTAATAAAAAACAGAATTAAAGCTATAGTGGCGCCAAGTGATATTATGTTATTATGTTGAGCGCCGGTGAGGAAGAACTAATCTCTGGATTTGGCAGAGTTTGTGGCTTCAATTATTTGAACGGTATTCACACGTTTCTACTAATCCACAAGTATTTTATGCACTACCATTTACAGAGATGTTTTTCCATGTAATTCTATTATTGCTCAGATCCACTTATTTAGTTTTATTCAGATTTACCCGTACCTAAAGATGTCAGATAGATGGCCCATTCATGTCATAACAGAATCATCTGCAAAGTGGACCAAACTTTGTTGCCGCAAGTCAAAAGTCTGGCTAAGCGAGACTATTAATATGCTAACAGGGGGCTTTTGTGTGCCTGTGTGTGTGTGTATGAGCGTGCTTTCGTTTAATGCATGCCAGACAGTGTTTACATGTGTGTCTATCACTCTGTCAGTGCTTCAACTCATTAATTCACCATGACGTTCTCAAATTCTGCATGCTGGTCTAGCAATTGTGTCATGCAACATCCAAACATTTGCTGCACATGTACATGCCTGTTTTCCTTTCGTGGTGGAGACTTACCATTGACTTTTATTATTTTATAAAATATTATTATATTATATTAAACAATATAAAATAATATGATTTCTTTCATCTACCCCAAAACTAACCCTCTAAGAAAATGCTCTGCATTTTTCATTGTCATAAGATTATTTAGTACATTTATCAAGGGTTTTTCCTCGAATAACACTGTTAAATGTAATCTTTTGCAAACCTCAAAATGAATATCTAGTTTTCATAATGTGCATGAAAATATTTTGATGCCTAAATTCACTTGTAGCATTTAACGCCCTACAGGTGAACAGGGCTAGCTATCACCATACTTTCCCCCGTTGAGTAATCATAGTACATTAAGACAATTGTTTTGAATTACAAGTTTAAACATGCAAATGAGACATTATCTAATTAAATATGCACTAATTTGCATACATTTCCAGAACAAAAATCTGAAAACTGGATAAAAGCCGAGATACCTTAGTAAAAAGTAATATATTTCAAATACATTTATTTCATACTAAGTATAATTCAAATCTATTAACATATTTACAGACATTTCACTCAAGACTTACTGATATAAAAATTATAATTCAACGGTATCTGGAGTACTACTTGTGCACAATGAACATTTATTAATATTAAGCCTAAAATGTGTTTAATGTCACTATTGATGAGTATTGTACAATCTTTGAATAATATCGGTCTTTAAATGCAAAATATTTAACGTATACTTAAAGATATTTAAAGATACTTAACGTATACTTGCAATAATTCCACTTTAGCAATGAAGTATACTTCAGTATATGTTTGGTTGGACTTCAGCACTACGTCCACAAAATTAAAGTGCACATACAAAATTAGTTGTTCCAATTTAGCCGACTTTAGGTATACCACTTTAGTATACTGAAATTATAATTGCAGGATATTTTTTACTAAGTACATAAATATGTAAATGTATTGTTAGTATACTTAGCATGAAATGTATTTCAAATACATTTTAGTATATTTATTCTTCACTAGGGTAAAAACACTTTCACTTTGTTGGCATATTAGAGAGACATATTAGAGGAGAAACAAAATAGTATTTTCCACCATGTTTTTAGGAACAATGTTATATAAATCAGGCAAATATGAACAACCTCCTCTGTTTTATTCTGTGATTCATAAAGTTTTGTTGTTGTTGCTGTTTTTATTTATTTACTTATTTATTCTGTGAAGAAAACCGAAAATTTGGTATATATAAGTGCTACTGAAGTGGAGATTTTTGACTCAGTGCATGAGAAAAAAAAAAGTATTTTGAGAAAACGATTGCAATTGGAATCTATAGACTCAGTTGATAAAGTGTAATAAAATGATCAATTAAATGTGTATTTTATATGTTTTCATTCAAATAGTCTGAAGGAAGACAAGTTACAGAAGCAAAATAGCCCAAATCTCAACAAGTTTTGCCTAAACGGTCTTGCCTTAAAATGACTAATTTTAGCTTTAGACTGTTTATAAGCTTACTTAGACAAAATATTATAAATTGTATAGAACTCTGCCATTATCAGCCTTCAAATGAAAATAATCATCAGTATTGGTGTGTGTTGGTGCATCCCTCGTCCCTGTAGTGAAGGTAAAATCTGGCCCACTCACACCCACACATAAACACTCAACCCAGATAACTTCACACACAGGCTGAGACAAATTCTCCCTCTGGCTCTCAGACTGACCTTTCTGTCGATCAGGACTTAAGCACAGACCTTGCATGTCTTAGCCTGGTTTCTAATAAATGGAAACTCTCCTCTCCTCTTTCTTCTTTTCTTGCCCTCTGCAAAACATCTACACCAGCCGAGGCTCCTGGGGCCCAATGTTAAGCACAACATAGCAGAGAAATCCCTGCATTGCTAAGCTGAATAACAATCAGTCTCTCGCTCTCCGTCTCATTCCCTCGTTCTCTAGTTTCTCCAATTCTCTCTCAAGGTCAGCATGGTATAGATTCCCTGCGGGTGTCGTCTGTCAACTGTTAAACATTCTGCATCCCCCCATCAGCCCACCCCAACTCACAAATATTTTTCACCCTCTCACGCTAACGCTCCCCATCCTGCACCATCGGCTCTCTCAACGCCAGTCTGTGGAGAATCAGGGGAATACGTGTCTCCCAGCTGAGCCGGTATCTGCCAGTGTTTAGAGGATCGACGAGTCTTATGGAGGTTTGGTGAAGACCTTTCTTCCTTTGTTTATTATGGTTGCCTGAAGGTTTCGCTGAGCTCTGTGACACACTGCTATCAGACAGCAGGTTAAGATAACCTTTTATTTCCCCTGGATCTCTGTGACACTAGAGATAAGAGTGAGGGGGAGAGGAAAAGGGAATGAGAGAGAAAGAGAAAGCGATTATGGGATTAACATTTTAAAGATGGATGTCTCTGTTTGGATGAAAACATGACGGCTGTCAGGTCAAGTGGACCTGAAAACAAGAACGCAATCTGTAACTCTCACATGCTCTCTAGACATCTGACTCTTACCAATGTATGGATCAGAATTGAAGGAAATAAATGGTCTGAGTCACTTTTGCTCATACTTAGAGTAAGGGATTTAATCAAACCCAATTGAACTCTAGCATACACCATTTGTGAATGATATGAATGATCACCCAAATCATGCAGCTTGTTGAGTAGAGATGTGCTATTAATGTATCTTTCGTGACTGGAAAAAATAAAAATAAAAATAAAACAACAACATTACATTTGAAAAATAATTCAGAACTGATACAGATTTAGTGAATCAATTCTGATCTAGATTTATCCTGTTTCAGATCCAATTAAGAATTTAAGGCAAATAAAATGAATGAATGAATAAAATAAATAAATAAAATACAGTAAGCAAATAGAACAGATATATACAGATATTGAGATATGTGTAAGGGGAAATTACAGAAATTAAGACAGTATGTATATGCAGTTTAATAAATATTACTGAATTTGTATATTGCATTTTATTTTACAGATATAAAATGCAATATACATATTATACATACATTTATTTTTATTTATATATAGAAAGAAGCTCTGAGTGTGTCTACATATAATTTTAACTTTTCATCCACAAATAAAAAATAAAAATAAAAACTTTATTTTTTACAGTTCTTGCTATTAACAAACCATTTACTACAACGTTTGCCTCAAACTCCTAATTTGCTGCTTATTAATAGTTAGAAAGGTAGTTGGTAAGTTTAGGTATTGGGTAGGATTAGGGATGTAGAATATGGCTATGCAGAATATGTGCTTTATAAGCACTAATAAACAGTCAATATGTTAATAATAGGCATGCTAATAAGCAACTAGTTAATAGTGAGAATTGGTTCCTATACTGTTACAGAAAAGTGTTTTCAATGCAAATAAAAATTATTATTTCAAACAAATTATAAATAAAATTGGAAAATACAAATTTCCTAAAATAAATAAAAATTACTATTGTATCCAGAACAAAATAGCAACCACCCAGAACACCTGAGCGACCCTACAGCAGGCACACTACAGTTGGATCATGAATGAAACATCCACACGGGTAAGAACTACTTACATTTGCTTCCAAACAAGTAAAAATGTAGTTTATAAGCAAAATAATACCATAATACAACATTATCTCCTTCTTATTGTCTTCCTTTTTCTGCTATAATAATGATAGACAGCACTATTTGAGGTTCATTAATGGGGAACAAATGGAGGAGAAATCTGTGGCAGGTGAGAGACTCTATTTCTTAGAGAGCACTATGGTGTTCCTCATGTGCGTTTCAGGCCTGAGGGGTGTCAATGCATATGTAAGGCCAGGTATCATGTGTGTTTCTTAGTTTGTTTAGGAGGGAATACAGTGAAAAATGTGTGACATCTGAACTCCAGGAGTGTAGTACTTCAGTTGAGAAGGTCCAGTGAAATGTTTTGCATATCAGCATTTTTCTTAGCTATATACTGTACTTTATATCACTTCATATCTCACCAGGTCAAGGCCATTTACA